CGATTTTTTTGGTCGTAACACATTTTGGGCATCGCTCTGTCTCAGTTGACATGGAATGTCATATACATATATATATATATATGTATATATGTATAAAATAAAAAATTTATAGCAATAATAAAATAAAAAAATAAAGTAAAACAAAAAGAATAAATTATAGGAAAGTTATGCTGTACAATTGTACATATGTTTTTTCTTCTCCTTTTCCTTTCATGACGCATTTTTTTCTTTTATAAAAGTATTAATATGCCTGAGGCGTATATATATGTTCGCGTTCGAACCAAGCACGATAGTACTTCATCCGGAAGTGACGTTCTTTGGCTAATTATATTTGTTAATTTGTCGAAATGAATGGTTCCGCATTAAACGTCGCCCCATGAAATTTTATAAATGCTTCATTCATGATGCTAGATGCTGCTCGCAAATCTTGAAAGGAATACAGACAGTTGCCTCTGGAGATGCAGGATAGCCAATCATCGGTGGGTTGAAGAGAGGCTGTTGGAATTCCAAAATATTCGTATTTATGTCTAAACCTATGAGCAACATATCCAGCAACATATAATAGTGCTTCCTCTTCAATTTCATTTACGGCCAATGAATTTTCAAATTCTTCCAGAAGTGTTAGCTGTTCGCTTGTGGGAGTAAAATCGAAGATCTCATTTTCTAAAGAATTTTAACACATAAAACAAATAACAATAAAAATAAAATACTGTCACACAGTCTTTCGATATTTTATTTTTTTTTCTTTGCTCATTAATATGATTATCGTAATAATCACCTTCAACAAATGTTATCCTTATTGTTAATTTATATAATAATTTTACTATTATAGTATAATAATATCTAGATAATATAGGTAATACAATAATATACAATTTCTTTTTATTGCAGTTACACTCTTATAATTAATTAATACTCTACGTGTTGTATATTGTACCGAAGAAGTGTATAATTAATATGTACATGAATTCAAAAATAACAGTTTTATATTAACAAATGTACCTCCTTCGTCGAATTCCTCACATTCCTCATCGTTGTCAATCGTATAAGTGTCCATTTCAATTTCCATTAACATTTTCGCTTCTTTTGCGAGCTCTAGATCTTCGAAATCAAATATGTCATTTTCTCAGGCAGCTTCGTGCACATCTTCTACATCCAGTAAAGAAGTCGAAGTTGTGTCACTTTCGGTATTACTGCTCTTTGACAATACGCACGAGGAATGTTTCCCAAGTACATACCATTTGATGCGGTTCTACAATTCTACCGGAGAAGGATGATCGTGTGCTGATCCCATGGCCCGAATGTAAGAAAAAAATTTTCCAACAAGTCTTGACTCAAACGCCTAGTAATGATATAATCAATACTTAATTCGTCCGTCGAATACGTCTCCTTTAAATACTGCAGCAATTGCCTAAGGGACTAGTTACATAGTCGGATACCCTTTTGAAAAGGTAGCAATGCCTTTCTTTTTGGACAGCGCATTTTCGTAATGACATCGTCCATTTTGTCGAGAACTGTGTTTTGTTTTTTTAATTCTACGCCGTATGCACGCGAATCACTGTGCTTTCCGAATTTTCCATTGCTATTCATTATATCGAACCATTGATTGAAAAGGCTTATGACGTTCGATATAAGTTGCCAGTTCTTGTTCTTGATAAATCCTTTTTTACCGCAAAATTCAATTGCCTTTGCATTCCTATTGGAGAAGACTTGCGCAGCTAATTTGACTGATTGTCTTTTGTTCCCTTTTACATCTAAATGAAGCCTTGTAAGATTGAAAGCTATCTTCAGCTCATTGCAATTAAGCGCAAGTAATTCTTCGAAAATGTCTATGTTTATTAGTTGGTCATCTAAAATAAATCCGGAATCGAACAAATGATTCCTAGCCAGTTTAATTAATAGCGTTTTCGATTGGGGTGCACTGGCTGCACTCAGTGTCAAGAGCGTGTTCGATTGGCAGTGCCAATGCGCACTTGGCTAGTG